TTCATCTGTCTTTCTGGCTGCAGGGTTTGGTTTTCTGTGTGAAGAGCCCAGGGCTCTTGTTCTCTGAGTTATTCTGACAGAGGTGTTAAGTGTCAGTAAAACAGAAGCATGGGCCAGTAGCTTGCCAGAACTTTCTACCCTTCTTTCTTATGTTCCCTCTAACCATTAAGTGGAGCTGGCCATGAACAGTATTTCTACTGCCTATTTCAGAAAGCCAGCTCATGCTCTGGGACTCCCGTAGCAACTGAAAAAATGACAAAATCAGGACGTCTGTCTCTACCATCCTGCTCTCTGGTGGTGCCCACACTCCATGAAAGTAACAGGATTGTTTTCCAAAGTATGCACATTCCACTTGTCCCATATTTGACACGACATGGCTATTGTCGAATTTCTTATTTCTTGCCAACCTAAGTGTGAAATGGTTTTCTCCTACTATGGTTTTAAGTTGCATCACCACACCTTTGTTTCTTAACTTATGGGATACTCTGAGTTTTCAGCAAAGAATTGACCATGACAATGGGGTTTAACCCCTCCCCCCAGAAAACCCTCTGACTGTGACTCATTGTGACTTGAATCATCAATTCAGCTGTATTTTGTGTGTGAGTGTGTTTGTCTACTTTTCCCAACAAAAATAATTTTTTTTTTTTTTGGTTTGGATTAACTAGCAGTCAAATGTTCTTACTAACAGTGGGTTAATACTAGGAGGGACAGCATCGCTTTTTTTCCAAAATTGCAAACACAAGTAAAAGTCTTCCTCTAGATACCACTACTATTTTCCATAGTGTGTGATTGAAAGGACTATTTACCTGAAGTATCCAGTGGCTGTTAGACTAATGCTTTCATTAAAAGCAGCCTCTGCCTGTGAAAGAAGAGAATGACAGGGTGCAATAAGGATGTTTAAAGAAAGAATCATTCGAGACTTAAATTTTAATTTACTGTGTGTTAAATAAATCTATCAGGAGTAATAACTTGGAAGGACCAGATTAATTTAGTTCTTTCAGCATTCTTCAGTTCCACAAAGCAATTATAGTGCACTGCTAAGGGAACAGCATTTATTCAATGCATGTGACCACATTAATGACTTCCAGGCTATGTTGAACTTATAGACTGGACAACAGTGGTAGCACTTGACTCCATCATCTGGAAAGACAACCCATTAACATGCCACATTTCAGGAAACGATGGGTGGCTGGAGGTTTAATTTGAGTATCACGCATTCATAATGGTCTTAGAAGAAGGCGATAACTTTGCTAATGGTACACTGGTATTAAAGGGCCTCCTGAGCTTATAATGCATACAGTTGGCTAATATACTGCAGAATGGAGGTGAGGTCCAAGTCCCCAGGTCTGAGAAAGAAAAGATGAGAAGTGCAATCATTAGAGAATCAAGGAGGGGCAATCTGCCCAAGAAAGACTGATTTCTCTCACCGGCACTCACCTCTTTCCAATCAGATTCTCTCATCCCTCTGAGCTCAGGCAGCGCAGAGTGTAGGGCAGGGATAAATGTGCCCAGAGAGGATTGAGAGGGCCCCCAAATAAGAATTGCAGAACGAATCCTAACGCTGAGGAGTAGCAGGAACAATTTCTAAGAAGGACTTCTAAATGTTATTTCCCCCAGACCAACACTTTGACTGTGGCATCTTGGAACAGTCAGCAGGACACGTAGTCACAGCCTTTGTTGATATCTCTTCCACGCCATCTGGGACTCTATAACCTATTGCTTCAAAAGTTTGCTAGTTCACTTTAGAGTGGGTGTCTGCTAACGAGATTGTGAGTAGATCAAAGGAAGTCACTGGATATCTCCACTTAGTACCTCACAGGGATTGAGTAAATGTCCAGGGGCTTGGTTTCCTATTTTCAAATGAGCACTTATATGATTTTTCCTTTTATAGAGATCTAGTGTTGACTTCCCACTGCAGGGACAGAGGCACCCAAAGAAGGATAACAAATATATTTGCAGCAAATATCTAGAAAGTACTTAGACCACAAGAAGAAACATGAATTAATTATTGTTCAAAACAAAGAGTTCTGGGCAGAAGAACCACCTTTCTCTCTAGCAGAAAATTTTCCCAAATGCAGGCGCAGATCCCTGGACCCCCACTGCTTGTTTATAGGGTTTCCACCGCCAAGAGCCTATTTAATCACTATGTAACCATAGTGACTGCTAAGGTGCCCATTACATGGATATTTAATTCCCTCCTTTTTTTTTTTTTTATCCCAACACAAAACATAGAGAAACAGTGATCCTCACCCATTCCTTCCAAGTGCCTTGAGGATTCTTGCTGATGATGGGTTCAAGGCGTTTTAGAAGAGTTTGACAAGCGTCCTAGGGATTATTTTTAAATTAAAATAAGAGTTGTAATTTCATGCAAATGACATGATAGCTAGCATTACATAGGTTTATTTAAGAGGCCCATGAGAACATGCAGAAAAAAAAAAAGACCAAACTCCTAAGGTTTCCTAGGGGTGGGTGAAGCTGATCTTAAAGATGGAGCATCTGGATGGGGGTTTTGCAGACCATGCTAAGAGCTCAGGAGAGAACAGCAGTTGCAGGAGCTCTGGGTGCTGTTTTAAACACAGGGTGGTCAGATTTACTTTGTGGGAAAGCTTGCCCTGGCCGAGTGCTAACTGAGGGAAGGCAATGAAACTGGGTAGAGGCAGTTGAATGAACTGGCTTGGAAGCACAAAGACATGGACACACTTTTCAAGTAGCACTGAAATGTCTTGCTGACCAGTGAGGTGTCAGGGGTCAAGGGGGTCGAGGAGGGGCCTCCTGCCTCTCCTTGGGGCACTGTGTCTGCATGTGGGACTCAGAGAAGGCCCAGCTACAATGAGAAGATGTGGGAAGGAGATGAGAAGTAGATTAAATTCTCAACAATGTCTGAGCCCCCCACCCCACCATGGACTGGGCACTGATGAGGTTCACGAGTGATGGATGTACTGCCATGATGTTTACCTGCACCGCCAAGCCATTGAGATCCGCCACCACGGAACCTCCAGAAGGATTCGCATTGGGGATGGTTTCGGTGCTTGTTCCACGCAGGTGGACATTGGACAGTGGCATCCTTAGTTCACGACTGACCACCTGGATTTTCGAAGAAAGTTTCTTTTCACATATTTTGGTTAGTCATAGACCTCTGCACATGTTACATATGCATACACCCACATGGCAGGGCATGCTTGAAGCCCTCATCCATAGACAAACAAGTGGACAGACCCAAGACTTTCTCCAGTTACAAAAATGCCCTCTTTCCTAAACCCTGTAACTATGGTAACCTCAAGCTCTGTCCACTTCTGTTTTCTTTGACTTTGTGCAACAGCATCAGGCAGAGGAGGCTCAGTCCCATGCAAAGGCAGGCAGAAATGCTTCCTGTCTTTATCATTGTGAAGTCAACACCTTTGAGCCCTCCACTGTGACCACACTTTGACTTTATCGGATCAGGGCACATGAGATGCCTTATCTACATTTTGGAGATGCTCCAGGAAAAGAGCACTTCCTCAAAGAAAGAACAACCATCTTAGAAAAGCAGCTGCACCAACACAGGGTCACTGGCCAATGTGAAGACGTAGTTGGTGGCTTTGTCTTAAAAACAAAAGGGAGATTGTGCTGGTGGACACAGTTGTGTGACTGACTTCAGCTAAGCCACAGTCTCCTCTTCCCCTAGCTAGATGGCTTGATATGGACAGCCAGCAGCAGCTACAGGGTGTGGGCATGCAGGCCCGCTCATGTGTCTGGCTTCCAGAAGGCCATCCACACAAAGTGCACAGGCTTAGAACTAGAGGTCTCCAGGGGCCTAGTTAGGGAACCACTGACATCTCACCCCAAATGGGGAAAGGTCTGACCTGATAACACAGAAGAAAAGATCTATGCCAATTACTACAATTAGGAAAGTGACAAGGCAATATTGGGGTACTGGCATTCCCCAGGCAAAGCACTAAAAATTATGGAATAACCCCTAGCACGCAATGCTGGTGAGCAGTGTAACGACGTGGACATCCCCTGGAAAACAATTTGGTGACATGTATCCCGGACTTACGGTATGTCCTGTGATCCAGAAATTCCATTTCTGAGAACCCATTTTAAGAAAATAATCACTGATTTGATCTCAAGTTTATGTAAAGAAGTACTTATTAAAGTTTTCAATGACTGGAGATGGTTCAATTATGTGGACACACACACACCAGAGCCATGAAAAATCATACCACGAAGAAGTCTTAATGACGGGAGGGAGTGGTCATTTTATATCAGAATAGGTTAAAAACCCCAAGATTTAAGATTATACAAGGAGCAGTTAGTGTTTTTTGAGAAAGAAAAATAAACCAGGGGGAAAAGCCTGCCTCAATGATTATTGTTAAGGGGTAGATTGTGTAGGTTTCCCGCTCTCTTTTAATGTTTTATGATCTAAAATATTGCTATTATTACTAGAAAAAGTAAAAACAGTAGATAAAAATTAATCCAAAGTAAATGAGCCACATGAAATCTGGTAAAATTGGGTCACCTATAGGAAATGGGATTTACATTGTCAATTGTTAAGAGACCTCATCATAAAAAGGGCAAGAAATAATGTTTCCAATCAGAACTTACACATCTTTTTATTACTCAGCAAAGGTTAAGTTAAAAACTACTCACTTGTTATATTTCTAAAGAAATGCAGCAAATAACCACATGGACTTCAGCAGTAACACAGCCTGAAGCTCTTCTGCACAATCTTTTTGGAGGGTCAGTTACAGAACTGGCTTGTTTACACAGTTTCTGCTCATGGCTTAACAGCCTAGCTGTCAAAGCTAAAAGACCTTTTTATGTTGGAACAGAAAATGTGCATTCACAGTTTCTCTCTCATACACAGATCCTCAAGCACATATCCAACTTAGGTGAGTTATTTGCATTCTTACCTGAATCATTTTCGTGTGGACCCCCTGCCCCATTTCAATTCCACCGTGAGTCACCAGCACAGACCCATCTAGATAAATGTGCACCAGGGCTGAAGCCTAAGCAGAAAAAAATGAAGAGTAGTTTCCATGATCCTTGTAATATTATCACAGGTCATGTCCATGAAGACATTTTTCCTGTAATCAATCCTTTCCTGTAATCCCCTCCTTTCCCATTTCCTGTCAAAATATGCACAGACATGTTTCCCACTGTCCTGAGAGCCCTACGCAGAGGTAGAGCAGTGCCAATATACTGGATTTGATGTCTTGTTGGCTGTTTTTTTTTTGAAGGGGGGGCGGTGTCAGATTTAAAATGCAAAGTTGAATACGAATATATACAGGTTGGGGCAGAGGGAGAATTGCTTCCATCTACACATGTTCTCATAGTGAGAAGCAGAAATAAAAATCCAAGGAAGACAGAGCAGTAAGACATTAATTTTTTTGCTGCAAAATGAGCTAAACCCATTCTAAAACTACTTGGCATAGACTCCTAGAGCTTTAGTTCGAAAGGAATTTGGGAGTATTTTTTCCTAAGCTCCCCACAGGAACCCAGAGGAGCCAAACTGCTACAGAAGTAAAAGGCTGCTGTAATCAGAAACATCCAAACTCTTAGCTAACCATGTTTTACAATGAACAAGAATGTTCCTTCCTGCAAGTCTCCCCACGCTGAAGTAGGGGGTATGGAACGGTCCCAGTAGACTGCCGAAAAGAAGGATGACATCTTCACTTCAAGTCTCCAGTGTAAAAACCAAATTAACATTATATGTTCCCAAAGAGCATGTGTCTAATGGTTCCCCTGTGGTTCCAGAAGACACCCTTTGCAGCTGTTAACTAGGAAGTGGCAGCCACACAGATGTGCCTGCGCCAGCCTGGGGTTTCTATGGACAGTGGCGTGACTATCTAGTGCCTGTCAAGCCAGGGTCTTCAGCAAGGTCCACTAATTAGAGTTAATTTCCATTTATGAAACTATAATTTTAGTACACCTTCTTTTCTCAGACTGCTTGTAAACAACCCAGGTCATGGCTGAAAGTCGATGGAATTACATCCAATCACCAGAAACACACAAGAAAAGGACTGAATTCTTAGCTTGACTCTCTGCCCACCCAAGGACCTGCATTGCTACTTGTGGGCTGACGCCACTTGGAGAATCACCACTTTTTTTTAGGACTCCAAAAGTTCACATAACTTCAGGCTGACAAGCAGAAACCTCTATCCTTCCCAATTAGACACTTGACAGTGAAAACAGGCTCTATTTGCAGGATGTCAGGATGTATTGGGGAAGTAGGGACAGAGGGGACCCTTCTCTGAGGATAAGGACACACACTCGCAGTCCAATGGAGAATCTTAGAACCTTGAGGAAGGCAGCTTAGCCAAGACAGCCATGGGCTCTGAGCAGGCTGCACCTGTATAACTGCTTATCGACACACCACTCCTGAAAACACGTCTTGTGCTCCCAGCTATTTATTTTCAAAACAATAAAGACAAGGAGCAGCATCCTCTATCGAGAGCCCAGAGCTGACTGCTCTCAGGATGCATGTCACACGCCAGGTGACGCCAGCTGCAATGGCCCCTTCGAATGGCACTTCATTGTACATGGCTGGAATGTGAGCTCCTTAGAAGGAAGTACCACGTCCTAAGGCATCCCTGGAATGCAACATGGTGTGTCACATGTAGTAAGTGCTCCATCAAAGTTTGATAAAGGAATTTGCACTAGCATAGCCATTTGATCTGTCCCTTAATCTTGAAGATTCTGTTTGGCCTCCTTGGCTCTGTGAGCAATTCAGAAGTTGCTTGTGGGTAATCTCATCCGGGGCACAGGTGATTGAGCTATGATTAGAGTGGACTGTGCATTTCCTACATGGCGGGGCCCTGCGGGGAGCAGCATGCTGCCTGCGTCCCGGACAGCGTTTCTATCAGACACTGCTGAGTGATTTGTTCCATGTGCTGCTGCAATCTCCTCGGGCCATTTCAAATGTCAAATTTGGTTCAGTTAAGTGGCACCACCCGATGTTTCATTGTTAGTGGCACAAAAGCTAACTCCACAAAGCTTTGTCTATGAAATTGGCACAACTGGAGCATTGGAACAGATGGTTCTTGGATATAAATTGGGGACTAAGTCTGTGAAATTTAAATCTTCAAGCAATGATCGTTAGTATTGGTGAGAAGTTAGCTTTAGTCCCACAGATCCCCAAAATGTCTCCATCATTCAAACAACTGAATTTCCACTCTGTGCCAGATTTTATACTAAGGCACTGGAACACAGACATGCATTAGACACGGCATGCCCTTGAGAGTTCCCAGTCTAGGAATTAAATGTAACATAGATGAGGTATGTTTGGCCCTTTGGGATGAAAGGTCTGCTTCTGCTCAGGGAGGCAGGAGGGAGTGAGACAACCACATGGCCAGGCAGTCCTGGAGTCAATCCTTGTTCTGCCACTCATGAGTGGATCGTGCTCAGGCACGAGAGTATATCTCAAGATGTTCACCCTCGCTTATTATCGGGTAAATGAAAATGGAACCACAATAAGATATCACCTTGCACCTTTGAGAATGGCTATTACCCAGAAGACAAGAACTAGTGTTTCTGAGAGTGTGGCAAGAAGGCAGTCACATACTTCTGGGGGGAGTATAAATTGGTGCAGTTGCTATCAAAAGTATTATGGAGACTTCTCAAAAAGTTAATAATAGAAATTCATACAATCTAGATATCCCACTTCTAGATGTATAACTGAAAAGTACAAAAACACTAATTCAAAAGATGGCTACCTCTCATGTTGATCACAGTATGATTTATAATAAGCAAGAGTTGGAAGCCATCTAAATGCCTACTGACAGATGACTGGATAAAGAAGTTGTGGTATCACACACAATGGAATACTACTCAGCTATAAAAATGATGAAACCCTGCCACTGAGAACAGGGAGGGTATTATGCTTAGTAAAATAAGCCAGATGGAGAAAGACAAACACATAGGATTTCACCCGCATGTGGTACAAGAGTTAAAGAAATGAACCAAATAAAACAAAAATAAACTTTTATGCTTTAAGACAAAATTCGGGATTACCAGAAAAGGAAGGGAGTTAGGACTAGGGGAAACCAGGATAAGGGGTCAACTGTATGATGAGGATGCAATTCCATTTTGAGTGGCAAACTTAATGTAGTAGGTGCAGATGTTGACTTATTTACTTATTTTGGTGCAGATGTTAAGCAATGTTACTTCAATGTACTTTTTTTCTTAAAAAGAGAAAGAAAACCTCTGGGTGCTTCAGTTTTCCCTTTTATAAAATAAAGTCACACCTATCCAAAAGAGATGAGGTAGGGGTTATATCAACTAGGAAGTTACACATCACCAGTTACAGCCTTACACAGAAGGGCTCAAACAACGCTTCCAGTTCCTCCTCTGTTTGGTTTGTTTCAGAAAAAGCCTGTTCACACGCAGCTTCCAAGCAGCAGCCTGACTGATCTCAAGCTCCTGACTCAGCCCTAAGCAGATGTTTTAAACACAGAAGCTGGTCATTTTCTGGGGAAGTGGGATGGTGCCTTCAGAAAGCTGCCTTGAAAACTAATTCGCGCTGCTCTCTGTCTTCTACTTTCCTTCCAATTGAGCTGAATCCCACCTCAGTTCCTACTGACTGCTCTGGGGAGGCAGCTTGATGTGATGAGAAAGCACAGGTTTTGGAGCCTCTCGGACCTGAGCTTGAGAGCCGCCCTGTTTCTCGCCGCTGTGGGACTTGGGGGAGGTTACTTAAATTCTCCAAGTCTCAGTTTCTCCATAATTAAGATAAAGCTACAAATCCTACAGGTTGTCCTGAGGGTTGAGCGAGATAAAATGTAAAAGAGCTCATAACAGAATAGGTTATATCAGCAACTATCATTATTTTCCATGGAGTTTTGGGAAAAATTCTAAGGAGGGAAATGGAACAGACTTGGGCAACTATAGAGACTGGACATGGGGGAACCATTGCACAGCCAGCCTGCCATGTCTACCACAGCCCCATGGCCAAGGGATTCCAGAGATCCCTGAACAACAGCGATTGTTGACCTCAAGGACAGATGGCTCAGAATGACTTCTTTACCCAAAATTTTGTGCTAAGATCCACTGCTCACAGCCCTTTTCCTCTTCTTTTTAAATGACCTTGTTTTTACTCTTTTTCTTCCATGATAGCCACTTGACTGTCTCACAGATAAACAAATGATTTGGTGGTGTTTTTACCATCAGAAATAGGCCCCATACTCCAACTTTAAACTTGAGTGATCCAGGGCCCAGAGTGGGTTCATTCAGCTGCTTGATTCCAAGGCCAGGAGAAGACACTGGGCCCCCTAATACCCTGGCAAGAATGCTTTTTACCAACATGGGGATGTGGACAAAGGAGCTCTTATCCCTCTGAGAAAAGCTGGCTTGACTGAGCACAGGACTGGCAAAGGTTAACCGTCAGGTAGTACAGCCATGTGGCTAATCACTGAATGGCAAATTTCCTTTGCTTATCTGTTTGGAGGACTGACCTGACCAGCGGCAAGGGATTCAACACCAACAGGAAACTTCAGGGGGACCATGGCCAGCCCTTTCTTCTTCCAGTAATTCTCCGAGTTGAACTTTTCCACAGCTGCTTTCCTCAAGGAGTAAGAAGCCATAGTCATACACTCCTTCCAACACTGGACCAGGTTCTTGGCATTGATCTCTTGTTTGTAGGGTGTTTGATCAATCTCCTTGTACATGTTTATCATTCGGACCTAGAAAGAAAAATTTAAAAGAGAGGGGCCCCATCCATCCATTGTCTGCTTAGTCAAATTCTGTTCATGCCATATGGCTGGCACTGAGTCTTACTCCTTCTTGAAGCCCGTCCCAGGGCATAATGTCCGCTCATTCTATTCTGAGTCTAGATTAAATGCCTGAGTACTCCTGAGTACTGTGCTTTCTCCATTGCTCTGTGAATATTCAAAGGAAGGAAACCTTTCCTCATATTTTACATATAAGTCAACAGAGCCCCCGTACACTGTAGACTTCATTCTGCTTGGATATTCGATTATCTGTTGAAAGGTAATCCTGAATTTACTTTCCAGGCCACATGATTTGGATTATTCAGATTCTGTGGCAAGATAAAACCACTCACTTTCAAACAGGAAACTATGAAATTTCACTTAAGTGTAACCCACAGCTAGGAGGTAGAACAAATTCAAAGTTTTTATCCAAGGATGTCTGAGCCACGAGTAGGATTCCGAAGTTGGAGTTAATGAGCCTGACTGAGAACAAGTGCCAGTTACCTCACATTCATAGTGAAAGAAGTCTCAACAGCTGTGGCCAGACAGGCCAGGTTCACAGGGGCCATTCTACAGACATATGTTCTCCCCATCCCTCCAAAGTAATTCCAGATCATTGTCACAGGAAGACTAGAAATGACACAGGGGCTGTGTCATGTTGGGGAAGGCAGTGGAGTAAGTAAGGCAGCTGTTCTCTTCTCCAGGTTCCCCAGGGAAGGTTTTCTTTCCTGTTGTTACCAAATGTGGTCAGAAAACCTGGGAGAGACAGACTGTGGCAAGATGGCCAGAAAGGGAGGGGCAAAGATCACCCCCAAGTTGAAGAGACATGAGGAAGATGATTTCTGTCTATGGCCACAGAGTCTGATGCCGAGTGTGTGAACTAGGGGCTGGGTCTTTGCAAGGGCTGTTGCTGATTGGATATACAGACATGGGCATCACGGAACGCTGTGTGACGTGACAGCTGAGGGCCGGGTGGAGACTGAACCCACACTTACAGGGGACTGTTATTTTCTGACACTGCTGGAGCCTGCAGACAACATACTTGGGAAATGGCTACACCTAACAAAGATGGGGCAGAGAGATCACTAGGAGAAGCCAGAGGGGGAGAAGCTGCCCAGGTGCTGTGGTTCTCCTTTTCTTTCCCACCTAACACCACAGAAGGCAGAGGGGTGGTTGAGGGAGAGCGAGCACACCCCATCTCTCTACCCTAACTCCACTCCAGGACTGTCAGTAAAAGAGACATAAGGAAGGGAACAGAGCTTGCTAACAGATGAAATTAGGGCTTAGGACTTAACGAATTGAAAGGGGGTCACTAGTAGCTTAAATGACTGAAATTTTTAAAAAAGGTTTATTCATTTATGCACACGGAACTGGCCAGAGGTGGTGAGAGGATTCCCCAGAGACAGAGTGGGGAGCAGAACAGGTAGATCTATGAAGTACACTGTTGAGGGAGCAGCAGGTGAGACAGGAGAGGTCTGCTGCGCCATGTGGGTCAGCTCCCCAGTCAGGGATTGAACTTGAGCTGAGGTGGCTGCGGTGCAGTATCACAGTGCTGCACTCTAACCTGTTGTGCCACCAGGGAGGGCCTGAAATAACTGAAATCTTATGATAACGTCCTGCGACATTAAGGAAGCAAGGTAAAGGAGGGCCTGACAGAACTTGTTGGCAGCAGTTAAATGTCCGACCAATGGAGATGTCTCTCTAGGTCAGTTAGACTTCAGTGCTCCCTCATGACAGCTCCATACCCTAGGGTGCCCCTGTTGCCAGGATTTTGGAGAAGAAGCCTGGGTGAGGCGAGGATCGCTGACATCTGGAGTCCCAGTTCTATATGACCCAGCTAGCTGATGACTCCCACCTCAGCACCCCCATACCTGACTAATTTAGTGTTACCTCTTCTGGGGACAAGCCACATTTAGCTGCAACTTCCATGATACAGGATTCCGTGATGAAGCCGGTCTGGGGAAAGCCGAAGCCACGCAGGGCGGTGTTGGATGGAAGGTTGGTTCTGCAGGCCCGCCCTCGGCAGCGAAGGTTTGGGAACTTGTAAGCATTGTCCAGTTTCAGAAGTCCGTGCTCTATCACCTGGGGGTGGCCAGAGTTGACATGGTGAGACCTTTATCCTGCTGTCTCTACTACACTATCTGGACACCTCAGATCGAAGCTGGGCAGGAAACAGCACACCCAACACACTAAAATGGGCCCATGTCCCAAATAATTTGAAACAGCACAACTTTTAAGGGCTCGAATAATTTTCCTTTGGAAATCATTGTTTTTAAGTTTCATTTTTTAGAGTCCATGCATTTTTTCCCCCTAAGTTTCCCAGACTTTCAAAAACCTTTGAGGCTTTCAAAGGCTCTAAGCGCTGAGTTTACAGGAGGTAATGAGTACAATAACCTTAAAAACAGAAGAAAAAAAAAATGCTCCAGTGACTAGTCTAATGATGTGGCTTTTAGCCAAGGGTAATTTTGCACATCCTCTCCACTGGGTCATGTGGCAATGTTTGGAGACATTTCTGGAGAAGATGGCCGGCAGTCAGTGATGACTCCTGGGGCTTCTGGACAGCTGTGGAAGATGTTGTTAACTGACAGCTGTGACAACAACTCCCCAGTCCAGAGAACCATGGGGCTGAATGGAGGGCTGACGCTTGCAGTTGAGAAGAAAGCTCTAAGCACAGGAAAGGTCGGGCTCACACACATCACACTCAGCTCATCCCTCTGGGCTTCCTCGGGGGTGTCCAGTTGGTAAGGAGCATGTGGCTAGTGCTTCAGTGAGGGTCTTTTTGCTTTTATAACTAAGCATTATGTAACCATTGAACATTTTCTGAATGAAGTCACGACGCGTAATGCTTTCCCAACTGTGACTGCGCTCCTTCAGACACTTACAAACAATGAGAGCTCTGCGACGGAGCCACCGTTGTTATAGTGCTCCATGTCCAGGGCCAGGATTCTGCCGTCGTTCATGAACCCGACCTGGGGAAAGAGAACTGACGCATGACGCCGGTGCTGCGGTCAAGTCTCGCTAAGGCGTACTTTGTCTCTTCCCAACTCTCTAGACTATTAGGTGAAAAGTGTCATGACATTGGATTTGGCGTTATGACTTCTTGGACATAACACCATGCGAGCTGGTGAGAAAAGAAACTATTAGGTTGATTGGACTATGTTAGAAACTTCCATGAGTTACATGCCTTTTGCAGCAACATGGATGGAGCTGGAAGGGATCATGCTTAGTGAAATAAGCCAGAAAGAAAAAGAAAAATACCGGATGGTTTCACTCATAGCAGGAGTATAAAGGACCAGGGTGGGGGGGAAATAATAATGATGAGCAGCTATATACCAGAGACATTTATGGGGTGGGGTGGGGAATGGGATCAAAAATGGGGGGCGGGGGCAAGTGCATGGGACTATGGTAATGGCACATGAGTGAATTGGTGATGGGAAGCCCACGGGGATTACAACTGAGATGGGAAAAGGTACAAAATGATGTAAAAATAAACTCTTGTATTATTTAAAAAAAAAAAAACTTCCATGAGTTAAAGGACACAATCATCATCTGATTAAATCAGATTTAATCATCCGATTAAAAAGGCACCCCCCACCAAATGGGAGAAAATGTTGGCAAATCATATATCTGAGAAGGAGTTAATATCCAGGAATTATGGAGAACTCCTACAACTCAATAACAATAAAGCAACCTGATGAAAGTGGGCAAGAGACATGAGTAGACGCATTCTCCAAAGATGTAAAACTATACAACAAGCACAAGAAAAGATGTTTATCATTAAAGATGAGAGAATCGCAAATGGAAACCACAGGCTAGCACCTGCACGCTCACTAGGACAGTATTAAAAACAACAAGAGAAGCAGCAAATCCTAAGTGCTGGTGGGGTGTGGAGACACGACCTGGCACAGCTGTGGGAATGCAAAGTGAGGCCACTGCTCTAAAGCAGTATGGCAGTTCCTCAACAAATGAAAAATAGAACTACCACATGCTGTAGTGGTCCCACCTCTGGGTATTTACCTAGAAGAGTTGAAAAGAGTCTTGAAGAAATATTTGCACAGCTGTGCTCACTGCAGCATGTGCACCAGAGCCAAGGTGTAGTGGTAACCCAGTGACCATAAATGGATGAGTGGATAAATAAGATATAGAATATGCATGCAATGGGATATTTTTCAGCCTTAAAAAAGAAGGAAATTCTAGCAGTCCTAGTGTTCTCTACAACATGGATGAACCTTATGTTAAGCACAATAAGTCAGTATCACACACACACACACACACACACACACACACACACAATGTTAGCCTTAAAAAGGAAGGAAATTCTGACATATATCAAACATGGGTGAGCTCTGGGGACCACTAAGTGAAATGGTCCCCAATACAACAAATCCTGTATGATTCTTTTTATCTAAGATACTGAAGAGGTCAAATTCATAGAGACAGAAAGTAAAATGGTGGAGGTGGACGGATGTTGGGGAAAGGAAGATGAGCAGTTATGCTGAACAGGCTTCGACTTTCAGTTTTACAAGGTGAAGATGATTCAGAGAAAGAGGGTGGATATGGTCACACAGCACTGTGAATGCCCTTAACGCCATTGAATTTGTTCCCTGAAAAAAAGTGATTGAGATGTGCATTTTGCCACAACTACAAATAATAATAATTTAAAGAGGAACAAAAAGAAGAGCAACAAAAGGTATAAAAGCAAAGCAAAGAAATAAAACCCACCCTGTTCAACACATCACTACTGATCAAACCCTTTCCTTCCTTTAAAGCAAAAATAAATATGTTTCTGGACCTCTCATTCTTGCCATAATCCCTTGAATTCTGGCTCCCATCCTCCCATTTTTGTCAAGACTGTCTCCCCGAGGCCACCAGTCTGCCAGTCTCCAACGGTGGTGGCCTGCTCTTAATTGACTCTGCACATCTTTCTCACATGGCCAATCTACTCAAAGCTCTTCACACTACTTAGTGCTGCTGGAAGTTTTTGAAATAAAAACCTTCCTTGCTTTCAAGATGTATCTGAGACCCCAGTTTTCCATGTGCATGTTGCTTCTGGATCTCTGATCTTATTAAAGCTCACTTTAGTGATTTTCTTGTTGAACAGGACCAAATTTAAACCATAGCAATAGTCAAGGGCATGGCTTATTAACTAGCAGTTTGAGTTTGTGTCCTGGCTCTGCCACTTAACTGGCTCCATGACCTTAGGCACAACCTCTCTGTGAAATGGCAGTAGATAAGTCATGCATGGAGAAGTATAGGTGAATGACTAAAACATAGCAAACATTCTAAATATAAATTAATCTTATTATTTAAAAAAATGTTTTATTAATTTTTGTGTAGAAGAGCTGGGGTATAGGCCAGAGATACAGGGGGTGAGAGAATGCACCAGAGAAAGAGTGGGGGGCAGAACAGGCAGATCTACTGAAATACACTGCTGAGGGGTGCAGTGGAGGAGATAGGGGAGGTCTGCTGTGCTATGTTGGTCAGCTCCCTGGCGGAGGTTCGAACTCAGGCTTCTATTATAATATTATTGGTATCATTTCCTGTTCTCACACCACTTTCCAACAGAAAACATTATATTTTTATGGTTTTAATTACTACTGCAATGATGGTTTTTAAATCCATAACCAAGTCCTTTCAATCTTCCCATATTGGAGGAGGACATTTCTACCTAAGTGCCCTGTGACACCTCTTCCCCAATATTAACACTTGTGCATCATTGCTCTTCTAGTCTGGTTCCTCCTTCCGACTTTTCTGTTTCTGTGGTTTTATTATTTGTTGTCTTTTGCCAAGTTTTCCACCAAATCCTATTTTGGTGATATAACATCACTACAGTATAATGGCTCTTAAATGCACCGCTCCCTGTACGTCTTATTATCAAAGCTCAGATCCCAGTTGATTCATGCCTGAAGGCACTGGCAACCTGCATCCATTCTCTCTCCTTCACAGGTCATCCTGAGCAGGCCATTATGCTACCCAGAGCACCCATGTTTGGTTATGACACGCAACTGGTCGGTGGGGATCTCCTCAGTCTCATTTTCTATCATGCATCAAGGTAAAGACTCCACCCTTGGATTCTAGGCACTTAGCCTGATACCCCCAAACCCAACCCAGCTTATTTTTCACTTCCTCCAATAAGTTTTCAGTATTCTAATTCTTCCACTCCCCTTAGTCAGCCCCATCAAACATGCCATGTTCATTCCACCTTTGCATCTCTGCTCTTATTATCCCCACCACCTGGGATGCTTTCTTTCCATCTATCTGTCCTTGAAGTCATTTATGTTTCACTTTCTCTAAAAAGTCTTCCCATACATTCCAAGTCATATTCCTCTATCCCCCATAGTCTCCCTAGATGTACCTCATCTTTTAACCTGAAATTATTATTTTTTCCTAATAATTTCATATGTGAAAGTTTTACTTCCCTCTCAACTGCCCATATGTAATCTCCTGCAATTCAAAGTTAATTCCAATAAATCTTCATTGAACCCAAACAAATTCAAAATATAACTTAGAGTAAATGAGTTGAAATAGGTGTGTTCATTATCTTCTAAAAATATGTATGTAGGTACCTAGTTATGGGTGGTAGACAATGCTGTGTTCAATAAATTCTGTTGTCTCTAATCTTGGGCATGAAGGCTGTACTTCCCAGGTTCCCTTGCAGTTGGATGGAAAAATTCCAGCCAATGACATGTGGCTAAAAGCAAAGTCTACTACCCACAGGCCTGTTGTTTGAGACACCTCCCATGTGACATTTTCTGTTATCTTTGCTCCTTTATCTTCTGCTTTCTGAAGAATTTAGTGGAGTACTGTCCGGGGCAGGACTAGCTAGTAGAACTTTCTATGATGATGGTTATCTTCTCCATCTCCATATCCAACACGGAAGCCTCTAGCCATATGATTACTAAGCACTTGAAATATAATTGAAGTTGGAATTGTAAATTTTATTTAATTTAGAAGTGCTAAGGAGCTATATGTGCCCACTGCCTTCTATCTTGGACAAAGCAGTTAAAGAGGTCATCTGAGGCTACCAGATGGGAAAAGTCTGAGCTCCTGAATGAATGTGAGGAGCAGAGAGGCCTCGCCTCTTCCCTTCCCAACCTTCCTGACAACATAGGGCTGTTACTTGAGCAAGAAACAATAAAGGTTTATATCCTTGAGCATTTTAGTTGTTTCTCAGAACACTTAGCCTACTCTGACATGTACTCTTATTCCTTATAAAGCAAAAGAAAAATATTTTCTGTTATGGAAATTTATAAAGCAATTTCTAGAACATAGTTTTCCAAAAATACCCTTGAAAACTGAAAAAATGGGAAACTCTTGGCAGGCAATTACAAATTCACATAACACTATTTTCATGGACTTGTTCTATCTTTACCTCTTTTATAGGTGGAACAGTACGGCTATCAGGTCTACTCTCACGTTTTCCAGTTGTTCACTGTAGCAGCCAATACCAGTTAGTATGTGTTCACAAACTGACATCTTTGAGCAAAGCAGAAAAATTTCACTGAACCAATCAGCAACCAAACAGTCACGACTGGGAATAGAAAGTTATAGGGAAGCACAATTTGTTGCTCTTCTAATTGTTATTCCCTACTAGAGAGTGGCCACAAGCTTCCCTCTGCATTCATGAAATCTTATATAGATATAATATAAACCCACCCTTCTCTTCTACTCACTTTGTACTTTCCAAGGAAAGGGTGGCGACCTCCAGTTATTAGCATGTCCTCTCCTCGTTCTAGGACACAGCGGACTGCACGACCATGTCTAAAATAGAAAAGAAGGCAAGAGAGGTGAACTCTTGCCAAGTAGGTATTATCAGGGACTAGTGGGGTCCCTACAAATTACATGAACAATAGAACTACGCCTGCATCCTGTGGGCTCAACTAAGGATACCCAGCGGTTTCCTGACCTTTTGAGTCAGGGAAATGCCTGGCATCGCTTACTTATGGGAGGAAGCCTTGTTGGAGGTGTTAGAGACTTGAGTTGGGTTTTAGTTGTTCAGTTGTTTTCTTTAGCTGTGTGGAGTACTGCTTTGGAGGTATTTCCCACTGAGCTAACAACCTCCACGGTAGACCATAGTTTGGAGAGAATGCAGCAGGAATCAGGCGGGTCTGATTACCAACTGCTCCTTGATAGGACACATTTGAGATCAAGGTCTCTTTGCTGCATGTTAGAGGAACTGACCCATATTACCCAAATATGAAAGTAAACCTTCTAGGTGTGCCTGCTCCAAAGATAATTTTCTATAGGAATGCTCTGAGGTTCTCAAAAGAAAAATTAATATAAAAAAGGTAAGCATAAAAAAAGCAAAATCTCCATTTAAGTCAAAGGAATATATGACTGAATTCTTTTGAAAGGTCGGATGTATATATACATACAAGTATTAAGGAAAAGTAACCCCTACCCATTGAGGACCTGTTTCTGTCTACTTTCCAGTATTTTTCTGTGGCTTTTTTATTTTTTCAGTAGTTGATTCTTGTTTTGTTTCCTGTAGTATATAATTTGACAGTATAGGATTAAAAATGTTCAAAAGTTCTAATAAGCTGGCAGCTTATTTCATGTGTGTGCATCATATACTATTTTAAATACTCTTGACCCAGATTCTTCCTCAACCTCAACCTCAACATTGAGAACTTTCAGTATGCCCTCATTTAATCCTTAGCCTATTTAGCAGATTTTCTCCACTTACTTGTTGGCAGCAAATGCTGAGATGGCTGCTAAAATGCTGGTCTTGACCACCTTCCCCCCAAATGCCCCACCAACACGCTTTACATGGCACATGACTTTGTTGGCTGGGATCTTCAAGGTTGAAGCAACCATGTCCTGTGAGTGACAGAAATTCTCAGAAACCACCGCCATCCCCAACACACATGCATACACACACTGGTACCATATTACCTGTATGAATTTGGGATACTGTGTGGACACATAGATATCTATTTCTTGATCCTCTCCTTTGGGGACCACAAGCATACTTTGGGTTTCCATGTAAAAGTGTTCTTGACCTCCCATATGTATTTCACCTGAAAATACACCAGGGTCAAAGAGGCAGTCAGATAGAACAGGTAGTGACCTTCAATTACCTCCTTATAGAAATTCCACTGATGTTGCTCCTGTTGGGACAGTAGGCTGTATGGTTAAGGACTACAGACAGCACATTTAATTCTCATTACATCTATAGATCTGAAGAAGAATTCCATAAGGGAACCCATCATGACTGGCAGTACAGGAGATACATGTGACTTCCTAGAGCCAAAATACTATCGCAAAGAGACTTCCAATTCTTAGACAAGATGGAATATATGCACTTCTCCCTAATCCTTCTGCTAAGTGTAGCTAATGACCTTGGATGTTTTATATAAAAGAACATAAAAAGATTAAAGGTAGTGAGAAGAAGGCAGACCAGCTAAGGACACTGGTGTCCAAGGACACTGGTGGGTCTTGGTGGTGTTGTTTGTACCATATATTTTAAGCTTGGTGCCAGAGAAGCCAGTGATTCAAAAATACCAACAGGGGAAGACAGTAAAAAGGCCCAGAAAAATCTGCTTTCTCTAGCCAGACAAACAGGAAAGGGAAAACCTAGTAAGAGAGAAAACTAATATACAATAGAAAACTACCCTATTCTATAGAAAAATCAGCGGCCCCATTCCTGTTAGCAAAAGTTAAGTCTTTTGACCCTATCAGGGAATAATGAGATGTCCTAAGCTTCTGTGGCATCATTGAAAAGCCCCTGGGGAATAGGACTTCTACTCTCCACCTGCCAATAACATGGCTCACCTTTTCCCTACCATACAGGATCATGGAAGTTCTGGTAAATAGAACATTTAAGTAATAAGTCTTATAATACCCCCAATGACTAGGGCAAAGTAAAAGAAATCACTCATCGTAACAATAACTCAATTTTAGTGAGTAAAAACAATAAAGAGAATGCCACCACTGAGATGACACAGATGTAATGGAATTATTTGACAAGATTTTACAGTAGCCCTCATAGAGATGCATCACTGAGCAATTACAGAAACACTTGAAACAAGTGAAAAAAAACATACAAAATCTCAGCAAACAAACAAATGGAAATTTTATAGCTAAGAAATACAGCAACCAAATTTAAGATGTTCAATGGATGAAATTAACAATGGAATAGAAAGACAAGAGAGAATAATGAGTGAACAAGAATCTAGAACAACAGAAATTGCCTAACCTAAACATTGGAGAGAAAAACAGATGGAAAATAAAATGAGCATAGCCCTAATAACCCATGAAATTGTAATAAAAGATTGAACATTTGTGGAATTCAAGTATTTGAAGACAAAATTTGGCAAAGTACATAAGCCTACAGAGTTCAAGAAGCTAAATACATTCCAAATAGGAAAATAAATCCAACAAATCCATGTCAAGGCACATCACAGCCCAAATTTCTGAAACCTAAAAACAAAACATCTTGAAAGCAGAAAGAGAAAAATACTGTTCCCCTATAGGAGAAAAATACTCAAAGGGTAGATTTCTCTTCAAAAACCATGGAGGCCAGAGGAACATAAACATCTTTTCCAAGAACTAAAAGATCTAACAAGTAACAATCACATACTCAGTGAAAATATCCTTCAAGATTCCAAAAAAAAAAATTAAAAACAGCAAACAAAAAAAAAAATACTCAAGACAGTCACAGAGGAAGGAAAACAGAGGATGTGTCTTAAATCTATTCTAAAATAATGGCTAAGAAAGTTTGGAAACAGAAAAACAACTTTCTTTTTTTTTAAGGCTACTCTCTCAGGGAGGAGACAAGGAAAGAATTCAATTACCTAATGACAACTTTCCTTTGCCTCTTAAGTTTTATAACTTGTATTGCAAACAAAATTAAAACATTGCTTCCTGTGGTGCTCAGTGTATTTGGAGGAAAGTTTAAAGGCATTTGCAAATGGAGGCAGGTAAAGGAAAATCAAAGGCCTTCTCTGGTGGCCCAATGGGTTAAAGTGCAGCACTATGACGCTAACAGCAGCAGCTTCAGTATGAGATTGACCCTGGCCAGGAGGGTGACCCACATGGCACAGCAGACCTCTCCTGTCACCCCCGCTGCTCCCCTCAGTAGTATACTTCAGTGGATCTGCCTGTTCTGCTCCCCACTCTGACTCTGGTGAATCCTCTCACCGCCCCTGCACCTCTGGCTTGTACCCCAGTTCTCTATTAAAAAAATAAATCTTAAAAAAAAGGAAAATCAAGGGAGGTAAGATTTCTATACTTAAATCAAACTGATATGCTACAAGGTGAATTGTTTACACACATACATATATACACATAAAATTTAACATTTAGCCCCACCACTGGGGGTGGGCGGGGGGACTTAGATAAACAGAAACACTCAAAACCATTACAGGTATATCAAAAGGAGTTTTTTTTTTTTTTGATCAAAAGAGTTTTTAAAAAATGGTCAAGTAACTCAGACAGAGGAAAAATAAAAACAGAAAAAGAGTCAGAAAACAATTATGATCAGATATATTAGGTGGATGGCAAACCTTTCAAAAATTAAAAAATGTACCCAATAAGTTTTGCAAATTGTTTGTGGGAGAGTCCCAAGAAAATCCTTTGTAGTCTGGACCTCCTATTTTATTTGAAATCTGAGTAAGGAAAAAGTATAGAAAAATGATCAGATCCTGCTTTTCTATAACATAAAAATTAGAACACCAACAAGGGAGATCTCAATGATTTAATCAACTTAGCATTTATCAAGGACTGCACTTTGAAAAGCCCACTTGTCAGTACGCCAAATTCATGGCTTGCAGTATTGGCAATTTCAGCTACCCACTCAGAATTTATTTTGTTAAATATCTATCTCCTTTAAAAATATGAAGCTAAACAAGGGACCATGTTGACTATTCATGGGTGAGGTGGTGGTGGGAGTTTTATGGGGATAACACCTGAGGAGAGAAAGCAAATGTATAAAAATGAACAACAATGTAAGAAAAAAAATCAATAAAGCCACAGTACTTTTTTCTTTTTCTTCAATTTTATAAAAAATAATATAATAGTTTAGTTTTACATTATTTTGTGCCTTTTAAAGCCACAATACTTTTAAAAACAAAACTCACAGAGCTAAAAACTATCAGATAGAGCTGTTTCTCTCTCTGTTTCCTACCTGCCTTCACCTTTAAGGTGGGCAAGTTTTGTACCCTGTTACATGCCATCACCCATTCCTGTGGCTCCGTGAGCCCTGGTGCCCACTCTGTACCCTAGGGTGCTGTTCTCAACTTTCTAGGTTGGGAACCAATTCAATCAACTAATCCCCAGGATAAAGTTTTAGCCCACTATGGGTTTAGGAGTGATTCCTCCAGACATATTTGCATTTTAATAAGATGCCCTTACAGACCGAAAAGCTATTACGATATGAAGGAGTCTATCAGCCCTACTTGCAGCAGGACAACTTGTGGGGAAAATAATCTCAGTTTCAGGGTTCACTGGGTCTCTTACAAATCCTGCTACAGAGATTGTCATCTGCACTTCTTAGTAGAAAGCCCATTCCAGCTAGAGGAATTTAAAGAGATAAACGACAAGCAGCAAAATGTAAAGGAGAGAATGTGAACGTCAGAGTTGGCAAAATTTGATTTGATTCTCTGTCAATCACAACCCCTCTGGTCTCAGCTGGTGCCATTTTTAAACAGTGATCTTTAATGTCCCTTAGTGCTCAGATACCAGGGCTAGGTAGGTCTGACATACATCTTTACAGTGGGTAAAACACACAATCTCATATCTTTTGAGAACACAGTTCTAGGACATGATATAATGCTCCGGCTATTTTATCTCTTAAGTAGTTTCTCTCTCTCTTTCTTTTTTTTTTTTTTGAACACCAGTTTTCCTATGGTGCAGATAAAATGTTGTGATTATTACCTCCCATGACCTGCCACTGAAGTAAGTACTCAAAAATTCTTAATTCAAACAATTGCAGAGAAAGGAAAAAAAGTAGCTTGAACTATTGAGCCAAGATGGTAACTTAAAAAGTTGTATAAATGCCTCTTTTAGAGACATCATAACTATTTGGTGCCAAATAATTATTGCCTGGTCTGAGACAGTCCACCCCTACCCAGCAATACATCTGGGTAAATCAGCTCGTGGGTGGCAAGTATTAAGCATAGCTTTCACACCATGGGCCACAGCACAGCAGAGTGGGGGTGCATACCACTGATTTAAGACTTTTGGTAAATCTTTTTTTTTCTCTTTCTGCCATCAAGGACATTATTGAGGCAAATGGAAAAAAAAAATCTGAATAAAGTCTGAGTAATGCTGATGTTAATATTCTCATTTTGTTATCTGTGTGTTTGTGTAAGACAACAAACACTAGACTAGACAAGTTTAGAAGGCTTCTGGGGTTGCTCCTGTCTTACCACCTTTTTCTGATAGCTTTACCTTCAAGAGTTTGATCAGCCACTTTAAATGCTTCATCAACATTTCCACATTCCAGTTTCTTTTCCCCTTCAAAGAAGGAGTTGTGCTGTATGGCATCCTAGAAGGAGAACAGAACAGAAAAGCGAGGCGGGCTGGTGAGAGGATGGGCCGTGGCAGTGGCCGCGAGCAGGGGCGCATCTACTAGTGAAGGCAGCATTTCTCCATTCCCCCTCCATCTAGAACCTCACATGCTCTCAGGATGACCAAAATTTAAGATGCTCACGGGATGAAATTAACAACAGAATAGAAGGAATAGAGGAGATAATCAGTGCACAGCACAGAACAACAGAAATTGTCTACCCTGAACATCAGAGAAAACAGATGGAAAAGAAAATGAGCAGAGCCCTAATAACCCATGAAATTGTAATACAAGATCGAACATTTGTGGTATTTGCACATTTGTGGTATTGAAGACATAATAAGTAGGGTTTTTTTTTAAAGATTTATTTATTTCTGCATATAGAACTGGGGTACAGGTCAGAGATGAAGGGGTGGTGAGAGGATTCACCAGAGACAGAGCAGGATGCAGAACAGGTAGACTGAGGAAGTACACTGCTGAGAGGAGCAGCGGGCGGGTCAGGAGAGGTCTGCCATGCCATGTGGTCACCTCCAGGGAGGGGATTGAACTTGTGTTGAAGAGGCTTTAGCTTCTCAGTGCTATGCTTTAACCTCCTGCGCCACCAGGGAAGGCCCAATGGGTAGTTTTTTAAAAAGATGGTTTTTTGTTTTTGTTTTTGTTTTTTACCAGCATGGGGAGCCCAAGTTCTTTGCTAGAGTGCTTGTTAACTACTTGTATGACTGACTATGTGGCCTTGGGTACCCTGTTTTTTAGATCCTTCCTCAGAATGAGGACAGGAACAGTTTCTGCCTCACTGGGTTGCTGTGAGCACTGCGTTAGTGTGTGGAGTCTGGTTAGAGAGACATGGCTACAGTGAGTAGGGTTAGCTCAGTCCTGTTCATGACGGCTGATGGTGAGTTCTGGCCAGCAACAAAGTTTTTTCACCTGCCATCAGCCTGGCCTCAAGAGTTTTGATAAGTGCTTCTCCATTTAACTGGAAACTCTAAAAACAGACACAAATTTAAGCCCTAGTGACAATGACAGGCACATATTTGTATTTTTTGGTATTTTAGTTGATAATACTCTTCCTACTGGAACCAAATGCCTAGGATTCCTTATTAATCTAAGATTCAGATATTCTTGGTTGAAAACCAAAGTTTTAGAAATCTTATTTTTAGAAGCTTGATTGTTTTCAATTTCACTTGCTAGTTGCTGTTTGAGTAACTTGGGACAATTTCTCGAATGTTTCTTTATCAGGAAAGTGACCCAGAGAACTGTAAAGTGTAGGGGAATGGGCAGATAACCCTGCTGTGAACTCTGGCTAGATCCACTCTGTTCCAGTTGACTGACTTTGGAGGCCTAACTGTGGCAAGGCTGGTCCTCACAATGTCAAAGTTTGGTGTCTGATGTTGGTGTTCTTTGGCAGATAAGTGGGGATCCACTGTTTGGGGGGGTGGGGTGAGCTGAGAAGAAGGGGCATCTATTCACAAACTTCAAATTGTATTTGACTGAAGAGTGGGAGGAAAGGGAAAACATTTAGCAACTGGTATTGGACAAAGGAAATAATTTCTTATTAAGTCATCTTAACTTTAAGCCAGACTGTGGGGGAAGGAAAGTACAAAGTAAGCAAGTGTAGCAGGCAACAAACATAATAGAGCATCAGAGAGGGTCCGAGAGGGTAATAGAGCATCAAAAGTTGAAATCGGCCAGGAAAATTTAGAAGAGCTAATTATTCTTTGATTTCAATGAAACTTTAATGTCTGTCTCCTTGAACTGATTTTAGTTTAAAACACTGAGGACATGGTCCAGAAACAAGCTCTCTGTTCTTAGGCTGCAGGACAGGAAACACAACCCAAGGCCAAGTTCTCTGGGACACAATAGTCTTGAAAAGTCATTTCCTCTTTTTCTGCCGCAGTGTAAGAGTCACCTGCAGAGCAATGTACCACGATACTGGAACCCCAGAGTCAGAGTACGCAGGGTCCATGGGCTTAATCTAATCTAGCAGGCTGCATTCCCAGCTTCGGGCTTTTATTGTTATAAGAACCAATGAAACAAGCAAAAGTCGACATTACCCTCTCATGAAGATAAGTCTCATAACCTTTATGAATGTTGAAGTCCATTTTAGAAAACAGCAAAGGAAATGCTTGTCTCATCTGTTTAGGTTGTCAAAATACCTGCAGGCATCTTGGGATCTATGTCTCGTATTCATTTCAGATGTGAGTAAAATGGTCTAAAAAACTGTGCCTCCAATATTTGCTTCTGGGGTTGTCCTGCTGGTTCTTATGGGTGCCTGGCGGCGTCTGGGCAGAGGTCACACAGAGATGCAGGGAGAGTCCACTCTCGACACAGCTGGTCACTCACCTAACATTCCTCGCACCTGTTCCATTCCAGTGTTCAAGTTTCTGTTGAGGGTCTTACTACTCCCCCATACAGTTTGTGCACTTTAAGGGAAACTGGCCCCCCCAACAATAGGCCCCCCCCATCCTGTGAGCAGTCATTAATTCAGAGGTGATATGACACCTAAGTGGCCTGCCAAGTCAGTGTCTCAGACTCTGTGCTCAGAGCACTGAGACAATGCTTCTTTCCTCATTCCTGTGATCGCAGGGCAGAAAGCCTGTGCTGTGAGCCGCAGAGAGGAGAAGCAGAAAATGAAGTTTCCTATTGACACTGAGAGGGGTTGGGTTAGTACATTCCCCGTGTTTTGGAAGCTAGTTGAATCAGATGCTCTCTCCTGCTCCTGTAGCCAAACACGTTTTGACTGACACACCCCTGAAATCTGCTTTGTGGCACACCCGTGAATGCAGTACCTCGATGGTTAGGATCAGAGGCTCCAAATCTTGGTAGACAATCTTCACTTTTTTTGCAGCTCGCTTTGCCTGGACCTCGGATTCTGCAATCACGGCACAGACAAGCTGGCCCACACAGGATACCTACAACACAGAAGGTGCTTTGTTCTCCAGGCAGCCGGGCACCAGCTCCTCTCCTTTCCCTCCTGTTCCTCCTCCCCCAGCACAGAGCTGACCCTGCATGCGTGTCTATAACTGCAGCGCCTGGGATAACAAAGGCTCCCATGGGAGCAGCCTTTGTGGGCCTGCTGGGGAACTTGGGGAGCTTAAGATTTAGTGCTGTGTAAGGGGGCTGCTGAACCCCAGCTGGCCTGGGAGGGTCATTACTAACCTACTACTAGCCTGAGCAGTGGCTGCCCCAGCACTATCTGGGCCAGGGTGAGAGGCCTTCGGGGACATGGCAGAGTAGGGGCTCACAGCTCCTCTCATCTGCAGGGGACAGAGGGCGTCAGGGGACATGACATTGTTGAGAGCATGTTTCTGCTCCAAGCTGGTGCAGCCAGCCCCTTCTGGAAGACAGGCTGCTCGTGGGGCAGCCCCTCCTGCCCCTCACTGCAGGTGGGGGGGCAGCCCACAGGGTTTACTCAGGGATTAGGGTGGGAAAAAGCAACGCTAAGGCTCCAGAAAGGTTGAACAGGACAAGTCCTCACTCCCATCCATGCCAGGATCCCAATTCTGACTTCATTATTTTCAAAATCTACTTTAAGTCCACGCTACTTCTCCTCTTGAGAAGGCAAGGGCCATTGGTCTTGTTCAACTGTAACAACTGACCATAAGAATTGTCACTTAAAAACACCTGTCAGGTACATGGCCGTATGAATGAGTCCGAGTGAGTTTAGAGAGGGAGAAAGAACTCCTGGATATGGGAAGGAAGATTCCATTTCAACTTGGACTTGGGACACTGAGACTGAGCTGTTGGTGATGAATTAGCAAATAAAAGTTAATGTTATTCTCTCCGCACTGACCCCTCCATATTGATAATAGCCCACCATCTTGCTACTATAAAATATAAAACATTAAAGCATCCTTTCTATAACTAGTCAACTTCTTGATCTATGTGGATAATGAGTTATTTGACTCTGTTTAATATTGAAACGTAGTTTTTAAGAATTTATTCAAAGACTACTGAAGTCCTTTATGATGTGCCAAACGTGATTCTGCATTTCAGAAAAGAGGCAGCACATTAACTGAGGAAGTTATTTTTACGTCAGAATGCCTAAGTGCAGTCAGTACCTCATCTGTCTCTAGGAGTTTCTCCGGTTGGGTTAAGGAGTTGAAGCAGTTTAGTCCTTCAAGCTGTTCCTCAGCAATGACATCCACCACACCGGGCAGGCTGAGTGCTTCTGACACATCAATGGACCTGGAAGAGAACACCCAGAGAAGGGCTTCACAGAGCCCCATGGTACCCAGGACCTGGAGAATGGGGTCCCTTGCAGATAAAATAGGAGACAGGTAAGATTCATCCAAAAAGCCTCCACCAGTTAACTCCTAGAAAACTGGGGGAGGGTTGGGGAGAGGGGCAAATTCCTGAGATGACAACATTAGTTTTTGGAGAGACAAATGGTAGCAAACTACTTCCATTGCATTTCACATTAGATCAACTTTAGATATCACCAATAAATAACTTACCCTCATCATACTGGCGCTTCTCATTAATGGGACTTATTGCCACCTGTGAGAACTTTGTCACTTACACTATCTTAGCATGAGCTCTTGAACTTGTTACAAGAGTCAAGAAAAGCTCCTGGTCCACGGCAGGCATGTCATCACAGTACACGGCTTCCCCTGTGGAGTGCTTGATGCCAGACAGATGCATGATGGGTTGGCCAATTGGATCCTGAGGAAGCTGCTTTGGGTCTATATTCTGTTTGACCAATAACCAACATAGGATTTTTACAATCATGGTATACGTGTCCCCTATACGAGGGGAGCTGTATAACTTACAGGCAAATCAGAGCACTTTTGCAAAAGAAAACAGTTACTATTAATAACTCCAGGACAATAAGCCTATTTCAGCAATGCAGCAGGCGAACTGGAATATTTAACCACGGTGTTCTTATTTCTCCCTGACTGTTTTGCTACAGACCACAAGCTTCTCTAGTGCAAATACTACCTGTGCAAGTAAATGACTATAAGCCTTTCTTCCCATAGTATAAAATTATATCCACTTGCTTTATAATGCACAGGGATTTCTTTAATTTTTACTATAGAATTATTTGATTTATACAACATATGGCACATATATTTTGCAAAAGAGCATGGTGACATCATGATTACATTCTAGAGAAAATATTGAGGGGCTGATTTCAATCACAAGAACCTTTTTTTTAATAATTTGAATGATGATATCTAAGAAATGATTGGTAAAACTCTTAATTTCAATAATCCTAATAAAGAATGAGGACAAAACAGTGATGGTGTTGATTAATGATCTAAAGAATGCTTGACTTAAGCTATACTTTCTTGGATACCTATGGAAGAATGCATCCTGCTAGTGATTCTGTAAATACCTTAAATATGTGTCATTCACTAACGTGGAAATTAAGAAACTTTATTCTCCAGTATTCCATGTATGAGAGGTGCTAGCTTTCTGAGTTGGTTGCTGAGAGAAGAACTGAAGGTAAGAAGGAAAGGGTTAAAAGATGATACAGTGAAGTTCAGAGACTAGGGTGAAGACGTGACAGCCAAGGCAGCTGGTGGTGGGAGTGTGAGAGGTGCAAATTCCAAGAAAATTGCCAGCCAATAGCCCTGAGATTATTCTCTGAAAGGAAAGGGCAGCTTGGGGCCTGGCTCACTATCTAAGGAACAGCTTATCTCTGGGAGTTGTGTTTTCTTCTCCTCTGGAGATGAAATCACAGCAGTCCCAAGGCCTTGAGACAAATATGCCTTTGCTTGTGTTCTGCTTCCAGGAGGCCAAGGGCAGAGAGCACGTGGCCAGCTGGCTTGTCATGGTGCTATCGGCCACACAATAAAAAAAATAGGGCCTTCTAGGGCAAAACACATTTTTTAAAATTATCGCTAGCTTTGTTTTGAATCACAATTCTTCAATGATTTTGGAATTTTAACGAATATGAAAGGAATCTCTGAGTTCACCAGAAGGGAAACTTAGCCACATACAGCAAAAGAATCACCAAGAAATAAGTAATATGTCCAGGTGAAAGAGGCATAATACAGATATTTCAGTTGAAAAATAAGTTGCTAACCTGGTACATTAATTGATGCCCACGATGTCTGGAATGAAGATCTTCTAAAGCGTCCTCATTCTTGTCTGCAAGGCTAGGACAGTAAACGGGGTCCTGAAAAGCAGAACCATTGTTACAGATACTGTAAAAGTGCCCGAATTGTCTTGGAAGGGACACTGCATGGTTCTCAGCAAGCAGCTCTACTCTGAAGTCTGACTTCCACTAAATTCTCACCTCAGACGCCTGAAAGCAACTCACCCACCAGGACATACCCTATGCAATGTCACATGTCCCAGCACGCATGGGAAGAGCAGAATGAACACAGTAGGGCACTGACTTCCAACATATCTGTGTTTCTTATGATTCTCTCACAGACTTTCTTAAGAGATTTGAGGACTTAAAAGCAGGAGATGTGGAATATAGAGGAACCAAATAAAGGGTCAAAGACAAACCCTGAAAGCTAACTATCGAGATGAGGCGTCCAGAGAGGAGGGGTTGGAGATGGGTGAAAATAGGGGTGGGAAGAAGAGACAGGGACTATGGTGATGGCCTGTGGATGCTATAGTGATGGGAGAACTACAGTAACCTCTCCTGTACTGTCCAAATTGTCATAACAATGTAAAAAAAAAAAGTCCTTCCAAGTAAAAAAAGATTTTAATAGGAAACCAAAGCTAACAAGGGCTGTTACCTCTAATAATCAAGGAATACTGAATAGAGGAAGTTTAATGGAAGGCTCAGACTACATGGTGAAAGCTTAAAATTAAATTACTTGTCTCATGGCCAAAATTTGTTCTAAGTTTACTATTAAGTAGAAATTGGCTTTACTTTTTCTCTCTGTTTATCTGGTAATAGTATGTTGTTTATATATGATAGCAAGTTCCCATTCTTGAAAATTTGATACAATGCTTCTGGCTCTCAATTGTCCCTATGTATAATGAGACACCCCAGGAGGATTTGATAAGAGAACTTTTGGTCTCCTATTTAAAGTGATCAGGAATGTCCTGATCATGGCCTAATGTGGTCAGCGGGTATGGCATGGGATTAATGAGGCCAATGTGTTTAAGTTTCCTTTGGATTTAGCAAGTTTACTCTCAGAAGTGTCTTTACTTGTGTCCTCCCTGGCTGACAACTGTGGCTCAAATCTTTCTTTTGTTAAAAGGGGGACCCGGATGATTTGCGGATGGTGATAGCTGTTATGACAACCTCATCTAGACAGTCGTCATCACATTCCTCTGAAGCTCTAGGGCTCCTGAGAACACTAGAGCCCTCTGCCTGTGACCACACAGTTCACAATAACCTTGCAGAGCTCCTGCCATCACCATCTCATAGGTGAGAGAAACAAAGCTGAAGAAAGCCAGATGTATGAAGGTAAACAAGCAGAAGAAATACTGTGCTGAGGAAAACTACATTCAAATTATTTGCTAGTTTTCTGTAAATCTAGACAATAGGTGAGAAACAGAACCAAGTGATACTAAATCAAACCCTCACAAGTCTGTGCTCTGCCTGTGATTTTTCCCAAACTTACTTACACTGCGTCCATAGACTGCCTGTCATATCCTCAGAAGCCTGGTGTCTCTCGCTCGGAGGGTCCTGTCTGTCCTATCACTGCTTGGCAGGGCCTGTTGCCTCTGCTTTAGCTATCACTATAGCTGCAGCACCCAGAATACAATGGCTCAGATCCATTTACCATCCTCTTCAAAATCTGTGACACTTCCAGGTAGAACTTGAAGAAAAAGCTGACAATGAGTGTCCTCCTGAACTCCACCTTCCCACCTGGAGCCGAGCCTGGAAGGGACACTTCATCCAGAAGTAGTCTGCAAGCCTCATCCAGCATCTTTTCATTCCAGGGCCTGTGGGAGTTGAAAGAGAAGTCTCCTATCCTCACAGGACGTCGCCTCACAGGTAAGTAGAAATGACTTCACGCAGGAGTGAGCGAACGCTTGAGTTGATCTACCTGAGCTCAAGTCACAGTCTACTACTCCCAGCATACCTGGTCTAGACCCCCCATTTCCTCGTCTGTAAAAGGGGCATGGTAATAGCGCTCGCGTTGCCCAATGGTCACAAGAAAGAAATGACGCTCCTGTCAGGTTGTCAGCCCAGGATTAGCTGACCCCCATATCAAAAGAATGTTACTGCATCCTCAGTTCTCTTTTAGGGCCTCACTCATTTTATCCTCCCGCTAGCCCTGTGAGGCCGGAATAATGGTCTCTCTTTGACAGACAAGGAAACTGAGGTACTATCAGGTTAACTCAGTTGACTGATAATAATAGGGGCTGAACTGGCTGTCTGACTCAATCAAATTCATGCTTTTAACCATTACTCTCTCTGACTTCTGAGATGGCAACTAATACCTAGAAAATGCTCAAGATGTCCTGGCTATTAGTTTTACCTTTAGAAATAAGCCAGGCGAACAACTGCATTTAGCAATTTATTATAAAATCGACTCTCATAACCCATTTTTCATCATAGTAAATTATTCCCTCACAATAAATAATACAAATTGACTCATTTTGCTTACTGTGTCTATATATCATTCAGAGGTGGATGCTTTCTCTCTCTCTTTCTCTCTCTCTCTCTCTCTCTCACACACACACACACACACAAACACAGACTGTATGATGCTCACTTTGGAATCTAGCAACATCAAGACATATGGAAATAATCACGAAATTTTGCTGGGATACCAAACCATGAAATAAGGAGGTATTAGGCATTTTTCTTCCTGTGATAGCCCTGGCACACCCCGCAAAGAGCTGCTCAGTTACTTGAGTGTAAGAGGCCATACCTCCCAGTGAGTTTCTTGCAGGAATTCTTTGCACAGATGGTGGTCGGCCCCACACCCCCGTAGAAAATGGACAACTCTCTAATGATGCCTTCTCCATCTCCAAAAAATACTCTCATTCCCGCGTTGACTATCGCGAGCGCATTCTGTTGCCGCTGGGCTTGTCGGAAAGCTGACACAAATTCCCACTGAAAGCAAAGTTCAGAGGCATATGAAGGAATACTGGCTGAGTGAAACTAGCGGGGGGCTGTTTATGGGTGTTGCCTGCTTTGTGCATCATCACACTGTTAGGGGCTCAATTGTGAACCTTCCAAATTGCATGACAAGCCCACACCTTACAGTGTGTCTATATTGGGGTTACGGTCTTTAAACAGGTAATGACAATACAATGAGGTGATTACAGAGGCACTAGGCAAACACGACAGTGAGAATTTAGACAGACACGAACAGAGCAAAGACCGTGTGAAGACACAGAATGCAATCAGCGAAAAGCCAAGGAGAGAAACCTTACCACAACCAGCCCTGGCAACCCCCTGATGTCAGACTGGCTTCTAGATGATAAGGATGTGCGTGTCTGTTGTTTAAGCCATCAGTCTGTGGCTCTGACTTATGGCAGCTGGAGCAAACTCAGACACTTGTCAGGGGAAACCTGATCATTCCACTTTATAGATAAGAATCTTAGTCTTGAGGTGATAGCATACTTAGTTGAGAGTCACCACAGATCTTGAAAGCAAGATTTAATCTGAAGCATACTCCAAAGTCTTTCTTTTTTCCACTAAATGCTATTGTACAACTTTTTTTAGCTACTTTCACATTACCTTCCCTTCCCCAAGAATTAACTAGAGATATATTTTTCTTATTTAGGAAAAGGCCTTATGGTACGAAGACTTTTTGAAAATGTGAGAAAGTAACATCAAAGGTTGGGATGGAGGGGAGAGAGCGAGGGAGAAAGAGGCAAGGAGTGAGGAAGGAAGAAGGATGAAGGGAAGAATGAAGGCAGAAAGGGAAAGAAGGAAGGAAGGAGAGGCAGGCAGAGGTCTCCTGATTTCAGGAAAGACAGAGTACACAGCACCAGTAAAATGGACTACTCACAAGTCATCGTAATTCCACTGAAAACACTCAACACCTTTTCTTAACCCACTGCACATTGGAATTAACAAGTAATAGGCAGGAAGTGGAAAGGACATTAGGGCATTCTTACCTTCCTGGAGTAGGGGATGTTCACTGAGATCAAGATTTCTTCGGGCTTAAGGTCTGCACTGGGGCACTTCCTGAGAAACTGCCCGTTCAAAGGGATCTGTCGTTCTCCTTCTGTTGAAAAAAAGTGACACCTTTCCATGGAATCTGTTCTGTCAATTAAACAATCCAACGCTTGGGAAATAATTCTACCAAAAACCTAAGGAAATCAACTGTTCAGGAAAAGAGCTGCTTTTCCTATGCTGAATACATCTTTCACCCCTAAAGAGCTACTTGCAGCTCTTTCCTGCAGGCCAGGTCCCACTATTTTTGCCTTCTTTGTTTGGTTCTAAATTAAAATTTCTAGCAAAACAGATCAGTGGACAGGAAGGACAAGATTTAGTAGTCTTCTTTATGAACAACACAATCCATGTTGAACTTTATAAGTAAGGAGTATTATTAATATCCCTTTTGATATGCTAATCAAGGCATTCAACAAATGTTTATTGTTTAACCAGGAACACTACTAGGTACAATAATGAATAAGTAAATTACCTTTGAGGAATTTTTATAATGGTGAGGAGCTGTCTTATTTGTTTATATATTTTTTCAGCACCTAAAGAATTTCTGTTCTTTGTGTAGTATATTGGGTCAGAAGAGGGAGTGAGGAATTAAGGCTATAATGATATGACTTTGGGATGAAAGAGAAGCAGCTTTTGATGTTTATTTTCACATCACAAAACCTGTTTACCAATAAGTGATTTTTTTCAAGGGATGTTTCTTTTTTTTAAATATTTTAATTTATTTATGCATACAGAACTGAGGTACAGGCCAGAGGTGGGGGTGTGAGAATATTCGCCAGAGACAGAGTGGGGAGCAGAACAGGCAGATGTACTGAAATACACTGCTGAGGGGAGCAGTGGGTAGGTCAGGAGAGGTCTCCCTCACCATGTGGATCACCTCATCATGCTGAAGTGGCTTAGCTTCTTAGTGTGCTTTAACCTGCTGCGCCACCTGGGAGGGCCCACAGTTCATGTATTTTAATGGGAAAAAAAATTATAGGATTTTCTAATAATTGATGAGCAAGTTAGGATCCAAAAACTAAATTAAAATTCCTGAAGTTAGTTTCAAAACCAAAACTCAGGTAAATACATGTAAAATGAAGCCCAATCAAAAGAAAAGGGTCTGTCAGCTTCTATCAGTGATTGAGGAGAGCACATGACCTGAGGCAGACCACACACTTCCTGGCGCCATACCCTGAAGGGCCCACACCTCTCAGCAGCCTCTGAGCACAGCAGGACACTGACCAGCACTAGTGTGTTTGGTGTTGGATAACTGGCTCAGGAAAATGTCTAGCACAAGGGTTCAAAGAGAAAGAGATAAAGACATTAGGAGTGCGTGGGGTTAGACCCAGACTGAAGAACTCCCAGGCTCCAGGAAGGCAGAGAGAATTGTTCCTCTTGTAAGGAACTGACCATCTCAAAACTAGACTACCTGAGTCTCCAGAGATGAGAGATAAAAGGAGCAGGTTTCATAAGCCCAAGGAGTTACCACTTACCTTTTGATAGCACATGGAGGGCACAGTTGCCCACGGCCAGGAGGGGATTCAGATCTGAGTCTAGATGCCTGCTCATGATGTGGCCCCCTAAGGACTGTAAAATAATGAATTGTTTTCACAAGTTTTGTATTTACTAAAACGCAAGTGATGAAATAAGAATTAAATGATATTTTGGAGGAATATTCTTTGCGTCTATTAGAAAGAATAACAATACTCTAATTTGTCAGAGACAGTCATCCCCGGGTGACACCAAAGTGCACAGCCTCAAATACATACAGCCATGTTCCTGATCTGGGCCCCAGCCAGAGTTCCCAAGTGCTTCAAGAGTGCGCGGAATGTTTGTGTCTTCTCTTCTGGAAGCTTCGTGATCACATCAGCCAGAATGTCCTTCACTTGAGCCAGGCTGAGGCCGGCACCTAAGGTCAGCCCTGAAATACAATTACTTGTAAATAATGTAGTGTGGTCACTGCTGACCTATACTTGTCCAATGGATCTAGGTTTCAGACAGGGGAACTTCCTGCTGGATAGGAAGCAGGACGTTGCCCTGCTTGGTGGTGGTGATGGTGGTGGGGAGGCCAGGGAGATGGACCTTGCTAGAGGTGCTGAAAATGGTCATAGGAGGATGGAGGAGTGACAGTGACAGAGGTGGTAGTGCTGGTGCCAATGGAGGTACCATGTTTTGAACACTTGTTGTGGCAAGTACTGAGTGGACACTTCATAGAGTCTCCTTGTTTCCTATCAAGGCTTTGAAACATTAAAAGCCCCATTTTATAGATGAAAAAACAAAGTCTATTACACACCTTCTCTAAGCTCTTTGAGCTCAGAAATGATATTGTCAAGAATTACACTCCGGACACCAAACCCACATCTATATTGCTTTTGATTATTGCCATTAAATCAGTTGCCTTTATGAGAATGAAAAAGCCAGTCTGTAAGCTGTTTAATACATAAACTTGCTTTGCTTATTACTGTGCTCTTGGAGTGCAAAGGCAGTTTCTGTCCTCTATCTTATATCTAAGGGACAGGACAGTACCCTGCACATATACTTGTTACATTTCTCTGATATAGCAAACAAAACTTTTTTTTTTCAATAAAAACGTAACTGTTTAGACAATGAGTGTCTCTGTACCTACAGAGATTTTCCCCTGAGCTTCCTCCAGAATGTTATCATTATAACAGACAGAAAAAGCTCTCTATATACTATAATTAGCAATTAATTAGCAATTCTCCGCCTGCTATTCAAAGGAAACAAATTGATTTATGTTTCTTAAATAGCAAAATAGGGCCCTTAAGGACTCACCATTATGTGCACAATCCACAACATTCAACTCTTCAATTCTATCAGGAGAAATCACAACTGGGTGAAAGACACCTTTAAATTTCACGTCAGGACCTAAATGATTAGAAAAAAGGATAAGAATAGGATAAAAGTGGGCCAACCACTGTTTACTTCTTGATGTTATGATAAAAACCAATGCCTTCAAATATATAGCAATTACACATGTTTCTGGTGCTCTGTTCCCTGCAAGATCACACATATAAAGAATGGTCACATGGATTTTCACTAGACATGGAAGGCTTCTGATCAGCCTGAAAACTTGTCTGCTGAGCTCAAGACAACTTGTAACATATTCAAAATTCTCTTTGGGGAGACTATAGGTGGCTCCTCAAAAAAGTTGGCAGTCAAACTGAACTTACATTGGCTAAAATAGAAAGACCCCATAAGTTCAATTTAAGAAAACATAATAGGGCCTCCCTGGGGGCCTAGGGGCTAATATCAGTGCTATTACCACCATGGCCTGTGTGTGATCCCTGGCCAGGGAGGTGACCCACATGTGGCACAGCAGACGGCTCCTGTCTCACCTACTGCTCTCCTCAGCAGTGTATTCCAATAGATTGAACTGTTCTGCTCCCCACTGGGTTTCTAGTGAATCTTCTCACCCCCTTGTACCTCTGGCCTATACCCCAGTTATTCAGTGCAAGAAAAAAGAAAGCACAATATACCTACTGAAATAACAGTAAGAGATGAAACAGAGAGCAATTTTAAATGCAAGTGCCAGATCAATCTCCACATGGAAAGCCAGGGCAGCTGTCAGACTTGTTAGAGAGGGTCTCTTGGGGGTAACTCTTGGCACTGCTCTGATGAGGGGCAAATGGCATTACTTTTTTTAAAAAAACGATTTATGGGGCCCTCCCTGGTGGTGCAGCAGGTTGAAGCACAGCACTGAGAATCTAAAGCCGCCTCCGCATGAGTTCGATTCCCGCCTGCCCAGGAGGTGACCACATGGTGTGGCAGACCTCTCCTGACCCGCCCACTGCTCCCCTCAGCAGTGTACTTCATCGATCTGCCTGTTCTGCTCCCCACTCTGTCTCTGGTGAAGCCTCTCGCCGCCCCTGAGCCTCTGGCCTGTACCCCAGTTCTGTATGCACAAATACATAAATCTTTAAAAAAAAAAAACGATTTATGTATTTCTGCATATAGAACTGGGGAACAGGTCAGAGGAGCAGGGGCAGTGAGAGGATTCACCAGAGACAGAGCAGGGAGCAGAACAGGCCGACTGATGAAGTACCCTGCTGAGGGGAGCAGCGGGTGGGTCAGGAGAGATCTGCGGTGCCATTAGATCCCCACCCCGGGGCTGGGATCGAACTCGCACTGAAGTGGCTGCGGCTGGCTTGCAGTGCTACGTCCTAACCCGTTGCACCACCAGGGAGGGCCACTAGGTATCACTTTTGTAACAGAAGTTGTGAAAGTCTCCTGAGCCATGCTCAGAAAGTCCAGTCTCAGTGAATAGGAATGCTATTTCTGGCTGCTTTTCCTGAGAACATGTATAGATGAGATCCTTGCTCCCCCAAAGTATTTCTCCATTTCCTCAGAAGTTCTTAAGCGCTTACCCACAGAAGTGTTCCCCATGACAACAGGGGCCTGAGGATACTGGGCTTTAGCTTCTAGAAGTTCCTTCAGAGTCACTGGGGAAATCCATATCATCTTCTCACCATGGAACACCCTGGTCCGTGGTGGTTGTTTCTCAGCCATCATCTGTTGAAAATCAGATTGTATATTAATGCCTGGCAACATGTCCATTGTTTCTGTTTTACCTTTCTAGGAATAGAGTAAGGAAATAGATATCTTTTAAAAAATAATAAAAATGACCTAAAAGTAGAGTGTTACTAAGGCCCAGAGACCAGGGTAAAAGTACATTTTGCCTTCTCCTCAGGCTGTTCCTATGTGTCTCCCTTTGGTGCTTTTATAGTTGGGAGGATTTCAGTTAATGCTTCAGCATATTTTTACATACTTAATTTTGTCAGTCTAAGGAACAACAAACATCAGCAAAACTGGAAGGAGAAAAACATGTTTACATCTGCGAGTGTGGTGATGTCATTTCAGGACTCTCTATAGATACTTGCTGTTGTCTACAATCCAGCACCCCTGCGGTGACCCCACATACATCCTCATCCCTACCTGAGCCCGTGCTCTCTGGACCTTGGATATCAGCTCCTGAGAGACCCCTATGCAAATATGCTTCCTGACAATTCACCAAGAATTCCTCTAGGATGAGCTCAACTTTGCCTTACTTACCATTAGCTCAGGAGGAAATATCAGCTCCTGAGAAGGATCCAATGGCAGGAACTCCTCTTCTGAGAAGAGCTTTGGACTTACCTTGAAAAGAGACGGGAACAGACGTTATTGTCATTAGACAGCTCTAACTACCTTTATCTACTGTGACAGGGTATTGGAAGAATACAGATAGACAGCAGGCTGACGAAAGTTCAGGTGGTCAGCGTCAACCCTGGGCTCTAAGTCAAGGTCTCTAACACGACAGGTCGTTAGCGACTCAGGGCAGATGCCCTCCAAAGCCCTCATGCTCTGCTCAGACTCTTTGGAGCCTGGGACAGCGGAGCAGGCAGGGAGCAGCACCTGCCAGGGCAGAACAAGATAATTTTCCTGAAGCAACTTTCCCCTCACTGCTCCCTCTGCCTGCTCCTCCATTTCCCTGTACTTTCTGCTTTGCTCCTGGCCCTTGAAACAACTTTTTTTTTTAAACAAACAGAGAGTTTAAGGGATCAATGTCTTTTCTCCTGAAGGGATATATCTTAATGAGATGAATATCTGGGATGAGGGATGAAGTTGTTAACCTAGAATTTTTTTTTTTTTAATGGAGATGGAGTGAGAATGGAAGAAGGGACGTGTTGAAACACTGCAAATTCGTCAACTTGGGCAAAAAACAGTAAGCTGATCTATGTCCATGTCCTGAGAAAAGCTAATAACCTAAAACATTTCACTGACCTTATTTCCTTCCTCAAATTCTGGTAATCCATTCCTCCCTTGATCCAAACAGCAAACTCCATTTACTTTATTTTGACAGCAGCCAGAAGTCTAACAGGTAAAAAACAAAAATAACCAAGAATTTATTGCATATTCTATTGAGTATTTCTTTCAGTTTTATTGATGTATTATGGACAAAAAAAATGTATATCCTTACAGTGTACTATGTGATGTTTGGCATATGTATACTTTATTAAATGACTGTCGCAATAATGTTAATCCATCACCTCACTTGGTTACCATTATGGTGAGAACACCATAATGTTCCTCTCAGCACATGGTACTAACTGTAGTGACCAATCTGGTAACCAATATCCTACTCTCTGTTTCTATGGGTTCAACTTTAATTTTTCTTACTTATTTTTTAGATTTATTTTATGCATACAAGAACTGGGGTGAAGGTCAGAGACAGGGTGGGGAAGGTGACAGGATTCACCAGAGACATAATGGAAAGCAGAACAGGCAGAGCTACTGAGGGGAGCAGCAGGCAAGATAGGAGCGTCTGCTGTGCCATGTGAGTTAAGGTCCTGGCTGGGGATTGAACCCGTGCTGCAATGGATGGCTGGCATAGCTTGATAGCACAAAGACTTAAACCCTGGGCCACACATAAGTGACACCATACAATATTTGTCATTCTCTGGGTAATTTTTTTTTTATTACAAAGTTTATTTTTACATCATTTTGCACATTTTTTTTTCCATCTCGATTGTAATCCCTGCAGGTTTCCCATCACCAAATCAC